TTAATTAAGATATCAGGAGAGTAGTAGCAACCTGAAACTGTTGATTTTATGCCCCCAGAAAGATTTCATTTGTTGTATTTTAGTTTATTGGCTAATAAAAAAAATATAGCTATTGAAAATGGCTACTGGCTAATGAAATAGCTAATGGAAAATATAGCTACATTATGTCTAATATATTTACAACTACTACTATTAATAATTTTATGCCAGTATGCTACTTTTAGAGCTCTTCTCTTACAATATGCATACAATAGATTTACATTGCTATAATCACATGGATGCAAATGTGGCATACGAGAAAACATCATACCTAAAATATAATCAGTGAAGACAGTAATATCGAGGTCAGGGAAACTCTCACAGGAAGACGCCAGACACTTTTGGTGAGATAAATATGTGCACTTGTCCACAGAGACCCATAAGACAGATAGAGAGCCATTAGAGAGGAGAAATACACCACTTATCTACAAGTAATGTGTTGATACACACCACTACCTGCAGGGATATAGGGCTCAGATCACATATGTTTTATTAAGTGTTAAAATGATTACAATCCTACGCATCTTTTTTTTTTAATATAAGAAGCTAATCTACACAGATTTACTAATTATGGATATGTGAGTCTTTAATGAGTGTTAAAGGACTGTATCCAGTCAACAAAACACTTCAAGGTGGAGCCATGGGATACGGCCTGTCAGCACATCTATAGATAGACCGTTCATGTGATGTAATGGAAGAGTGTTTAACTTGTTATAGTATATATCTGTGTTAAATGATTTACTGTAATGTATAATATGCAGTTAGTGGTGTTTGCTTCTGCGCATAAACATTAAATATAATAAAATAATAAAAAAAATGTCATGTAATGTTCTTACTTGCATCATTTTAGCCGTTAACTATTCTTTTTTTAGCAGTGTCTGTAGTACATCAAACTAATGTTTTATGGGTTTCTCAACCTTAGTTTGGTGAATATGTTAATCATCTGTGGGGAAAAGAATTTGTTTGGTTTGAAAATAGAAATGGCAGACAGTTCAGGGAAAAAAGCATTTGTTTGCCATGACCATGTCTGTCCTTGTATGAATAGAAATGGACTCTATGGAAAGGATATAATGAATTAAATAATATTACATGGTGAATGTATGATCTATTTTGATGACAAATGCATAAACTAAAACAGAAGGGTAATTTTATGGATAAACAAGACAGCAGCGTCAGTAGAACAAATCAACTTTCAAAAGACATCCACCAGTTTACTTTTAAAACCTGATAAATTAATAAATAACATATCCACAAACTAAATGGACAAACAAGACACGGGACAGTGTGGACAATCCGGGCAAGAATGTGAAACGAACGAAAACCCTACCCAGTGACAATACACACGAAACCAAATCAGAACACACTCTTAGCGACATCTAGTGGTCACTGAGAGAACAACATGCATTTAGAACTGCATGAAAATAAAGCAGTTCATTCCAAATTAATTTCAATGCTGCTAAATGCAGATATTTACTTACAAAATATACATCACAATGACCTAAGTGAGCACATCCACAGTCCTAGGACCATCGCGCATGTCCTCAGTGTCTCTGTACTGAATGGTGACTGTGATGTTACTCTCAGAATCATGATTGTCCCCCTGGGGGTCAGTGGAGCCCAGACCAGGTCTTCTGCGTCCTCTGTGTCATCTCGGCCCTCCTCATCCTCTGAATCTGTTGTATGTTAAAATGTTATATTACTTGTTTTCCCTGACCAACAAGCATCACTATGAGCATCACTCACACCTGGTGTTTGATGGACGTGGATGTTATTTTGCTTACCGTGGTAAAGAAAATCAAGCAATTCTTGGATGAACAAAAGCTCTCGCTCCGTCAAGGGCTGTTCTGCGACATTCCTGTAATCACTCATTTCAAATTAAAAATAATTACCAAAATCATTGCTGGTGAAATTTCAGGTGAGCTGATCCAGCAGCTAATATTCCAACAACTTTTATTCATAACCAAACATTCTTAAATATCAACATACTGAGACTCAATTAATCTCACACTGATCTATAATAGAGAAGAGAGTCATTATATATACAGTGGTGTGAAAAAGTGTTGGCCCCCTTCCTGATTTCTTATTTTTTTGCATGTTTGTCACACTTTAATGTTTCAGATCATCAAACAAATTTAAATATTAGTCAAAGATAACACAAGTAAACACAACATGCAGAATTTTGGTCGGCCGGCCACTCCTGGGAAGGTTCTCCACTGTTCCATGTTTTTGCCATTTGTGAATAATGGCTCTCACTGTGGTTCGCTGGAGTCCCAAAGCTTTAGAAATGGCTTTATAACCTTTTCCAGACTGATAGATCTCATTTACTTTCTTTCTCATTTGTTTCTGTATTTCTTTGGATCTCGGCATGATGTCTAGTTTTTGAGGATCTTTTGGTCTACTTCACTTTGTCAGGCAGGTCCTATTTAAGAGATTTCTTGATTGCGAACAGGTGTGGCAGTAATCAGGCCTGGGTGTGGCTAGAGAAATTGAACTCAGGTGTGATAAATCACAGTTTTAACAGGGGGGCAAACACTTCTTCACACAGGGCCATGTATTTTTGGATTTTGTTTTCCCTTAATAATAAAAACCTTCATTTAAAAACTGCATGTTGTGTTTACTTGTGTTATCTTTGACTAATATTTAAATTTGTTTGATGATCTGAAACATTAAAGTGTGACAAACATGCAAAAAAATAAGAAATCAGGAAGGGGGCCAACACTTTTTCACACCGCTGTAGATCAGTGGTTATATTTCTAGTAGGCCTACTACAGCTACTACAGTTAGGATTTAAATAATAATAATAATAATAATAATGATAATTGACAATATTACCACAGTAAGCAGATACGATAATAGCCATTTAACCATAATTCTTTCTTTCTTTCGTTCTTTCTTTCTCTCTTTCTCTCTCTCTCTCTCTCTCTCTCTCTTTCTTTCTTTCTTTCTTGATTAATTTTTAAATAATGAACTAGACCATACCTCATGTGTATATATATCTATGCAATACCTTATGCATTCATAATCGTTAGTGTTACTCTGGTGTCATTATAATGTACTTGTGGTGTGCCATATAAAGTTAATTAATGCAGGCTTATCATTATAAGTAAATAACATCGTCACATTCATCCATCCAACGCTAGATGGCGCATACGTCTACCAAATTTTGTGCGAATCTTTCGCTGTCATCATGTCCTGTAAATGTCACATTACTTAAATTCAATTGTGAAGTTAATATGGATCCCTCTGCGCCAAATTATTCTTGAAACCATTAAAACTGCTCAGCTACTTCATGAAGACTTGGGAAACATCATGACATCTTTCATTATTTCACCCTTTTCATTTAGATCTTACAGTAGTATTATGGCCTATTTGTGTTCATTTTGTCATTTGATATTTTATTTTACATAAAGCAATACTTTTTATGTTGTTTATTTGTATTTTATCAGTGTTATGGAAACATTGTATTACATTCTAAAATGTATATGTATGTATGTATTCATAATATATTAGTAATTATGTTTAATATTGCCGTTTAATAATAATGTTTATTTTTATTTGTTTATTTTTACATTATATTAAATGAAATAGCATTTCAACAACTCAAATAGCATCCTGATGATCCGACGATAGCTGCTCGCATCTCAGCATGTCTAACAGACATTTCTTGTTGGATGACGGACCATCACCTTCAACTCAACCTGGCTAAGACAGAACTGCTTGTGGTTTCAACAAACCCATCACTTTATCAAAATTTCACCATCCAGTTAGGCTCATCAACCATAACTCCTTCAAAAACAGATAGAAACCTTGGAGTTGTGATTGATGATAAACTGAATTTCTCAGACCACATTGCTAAAACGTATAATTTGCTTTATACAACATTAGCTTTTGTTAGTTTTGACTGCTTTTATTGTCCTCATTTGTAAGTCGCTTTGGATAAAAGCGTCTGCTAAATGACTAAATGTAAATGTAATAGGCCTAATAATATGTAAGTGTTAATATGTATGTGTAATATTTTCCTATTTTGTTTGTACAGCCATGACAATAAAACACTTTAAAAAATAATACTTGCCCAGTGATATCAGCCTGTGTGTATATTTAGTCAGTGTGATTTTGCGTAGCCCCTCCCCCAGGCTACAGTCTGCTGCGCATGTCACAGAACGCCGCTGATCACGTAGTACACGTGCAGCACACTGATTTTGTTCTGTTTTATGACTATTTATTTATGAATCAAGCGTGTAGTGTTGCTTTTGATATTTAAATAGTATATATTATGGAGTACAAAGGCCTAATAATATGTAAGTGTTAATATGTATGTGTAATATTTTCCTATTTTGTTTGTACAGCCATGACAATAAAACACTTTAAAAAATAATACTTGCCCAGTGATATCAGCCTATGTGTATATTTAGTCAGTGTGATTTTGCGTAGCCCCTCCCCCAGGCTACAGTCTGCTGCGCATGTCACAGAACGCCGCTGATCACGTAGTACACGTGCAGCACGCTGATTTTGTTCTGTTTTATGACCATTTATTTATGAATCAAGCGTGTAGTGTTGCTTTTGATAATAATATACACCTGCTTTACTTTTATTGTCTCGCCTCGGGTTCTGCTCTGTGTGTCATTTGACATGATCATCATGTTTGTAGGTCAGTGACCTGGTGTTTTCGGATCAGAAAAATGAAAACTCAATACCCTAATAATGTTTTTAACAGCAGTTCAGTGTATGAATTGAATTTTATTGTGAAAAGTAGTACGCCTACAATCTTCATTCAGCGAAACCTCCAAGTGTTCGTGATTGAGCTCATGTCTGCAGTGGCAGAAGGCGCTGGTGTCGGCACTGGTCGGATTTTCCTTCGGCAATTTCCGTTTATGTTAACCACGCCCCTATTTCCTTTCGGGAGTTTCCGCGGACGTTAATCACGCCCCTACATTGCTCAGCGTTGTTTAGGGACATTAGGAAGATGGCGGCTGCCCCGCTCTACTGTGTCTGCCGGCAGCCCTATGATGTTAACCGGTTTATGATCGAATGCGACATTTGTAAAGACTGGTTCCACGGCAGGTATGGAAATTATGGCCTCCTTAACAGATGTGGATCGGTTGGTATGTACAGGCCGCCTTGCCACGGGGGTATTTTGGCTGTAAATAAGGGGTGTCATGTGAAAGTGCTGGTGACGCTCGATGGGGTTATTTAAATATGACGGTGCGAGATCACGCTCGACTTGAATGTGATTTGAGCGTTATTGATCGATTTCTGTCAAATGTTTTTGTGATAAACGTGTACAGGGAACTTTTAAGACAACCTGTCTCCCACAATCCTTCCCTCAGGATTGAATTTTTCTGCTTTCCTTTAGAAGTGAACTGCCAAAAGCCACATGGCTCATCTGTATGTGTGTTATGAAACTAGACATTTAAATCGTCTGTCTGCTTGAGCTTGACGTGCTTTGCTGAACTTGGAGAAAAAGGATGTTTCTCGCTTTATATAACTCGGATTGAACGCAAAAATTATGTATTTTATGATTTATATGGTCATTAGCCGAAAGTTTGCATCTTTGCTTTGAGACTTGCCTCAGCTGAGTGAGTTTCTTTACAAATATTGATCAAGGTAGTATAGTTTATTGAACTACAATAAAATGTGTGTGTGTGTGTGTGTGTGTGTGACTGTGTATGTATTATATATAATCATGTCTGATCGTGCCATACTGTTCTCTTGTGTCACATTGTTTATGTGTCAAGACAAATTATGCAATATGAGCATTTCTAGTGTTTGGCAGAACAGGTATTTTTCTGATAAGTAGATACACAAACAAAACCATATCCATCTTGGCATGCCAACATTTTTGGCATATTGCCAAAAGTAGCTGCCTTTAAGCTTCAGGACAGAATCTTGTCTGTAAATGAGCCAGGGCTGAGCTTCCCTTCCTGTCTTGCGAAGTAACCGCCAGTACACAGTGAGCGGTTGTGCGGGTGTTGAGAATTAAGTCTTGCGTAACTTTGTGGAGCTGCCAGATTCCCCAAACCCTGTGAGAGTGCGAGACAAAGATTGGCGCCTTTGCAGGCCAGAAGAAGAAGTGAAGGGAACGAGTGCGATTCTGCAGCGTCAGTGACGCACAAAACTGTTACCACATGCTCTGTGTCACTTCGCTCCAGATTGACGAGACTCAATCTTCCCAAAATCAGAGATGTGAAACTTCTCGTCTCACTGGAAAGTGTTGCAGAATGAGGATGTCTGTCTGAATGCACATGGGGTGAAAGTCTGAACCTGTGAATCAGTTACTTTAAAAGAGACTGTGAATCTAACCCTGAGGGCATCATGAGATGTTACGCTTAGCTCTCTTTAGAAGACATTTCATCTGGAGAGTTATAGCAGGTCGAGATTTGTTTAACGAGACCCTAGCTCTTTGAGGGTTACAGGTGAGTTTAGGTGGCCACAGATCTGCTGATTGATGGAGCTGCAAGGTCAATACGCAGTAAAGAGCTCAGGTTGAGACCATCTTTTGTCCTTTTCAGACTGAAAGTAAACAAATTCTGAGTGTCGTCAAAGAGGCCGGTTAACCCTTAGTTTCAATTGGAAACTTCAAGAATGCATTGGTTTATTTAGGCTTGGTGTTTCACCATTGGTCCACCTGAGCTTTGTCTTAAAATTAAACTCATCTTGAAGTTGAAATGAAAATTCACCCAACCTACAAAGTTATTAATATTATTATGAACAAACATAACTTGGAACTTCCGGTGAAATGACAGACTTTACTCTAGTGGCGTATGCCAGACTTCCCCAGTCATTTAGCCTGATTAAACTCCTCCCCTTTCTTACAATCAACTTCAGATCTGCCTCCATCTAATCAACAACCCTTTTTTAAAGGGTTCATTTTCCCTTCGTTTTATTGAGATATACATTAGAAAATACTCGCCACTACTTCTCTCATTGGCATGTTTTGTTATGTACTCATAAAATGGCAGTAGTGTAAGAATTAGTTAGGTCTTACAAAAACTTTTAGCAAGAATTGGGCTAAAAATATTGGCTGTATAGGGGGAGGATCCCTAAGCAAGAAAGGCTTAGGGTCACATAGGGTCAGCAGATGCGTGCATGTACACCCCATCTAGCCTTACTCTCCCAAATACAGACTTGTTTGGCTCTGAATTGCTCATAGTTCTGCATTATACAAAGAATGGCTTGTCACTGGCCTAAACTTGACTCTTTCTTGCTGTTTGCGGATCATTCTTAAAAATGTATCTGCCACAACAAAGTGCCTAACTTGAATGTGTGCACTCTTGACTAGCTTGATGAGCTTGCGAGAGAAAGAGGGCAAGTAAAGGCAATGTTAAAATACTTTCCCTCCTCTGGTCCCTGGGTTTGTGAGGATGTTTTGGTGTTCGACTCATTATGTCTCATTAAATCCTAAATGTGCTTCTGAGTCTCAACAAAAGCCTAGTGTGAGTCGCTTCCAGACCTGAGACGCCCTGAAGATTAGTGTTGACTTACCAGGGCCTGGTTTGTTGACCCCTGCCTGCTCTGTTGAGGGTTAATCCAATGAAACTGTCAGGTTTATTTGTTACGGAAGTATACAGACAATAAATTAGATTTTATTTAACTTATATTTAAATAAAATGCTTAAATTGTCACTATTTAGTTGGTAGTTTCTATTTGATTTTCACTATTGGCACTGTCCAAGGTAGTAATGTGGGCGCTCCACAGATCCGATGGAGTATGAAATCTGTTGTTATACTCAAGTCCAAATCATACTCCGGTTTTTATGAGTACACACTGTACTTTGGGCTTTAGGCCATGGTTACAATTTATTTGTTTTTGGCCACTAGAGAAAGTTAATCAGAGGGTTCCTGACTAATACTTTCTTGCTTTCTGTGCCTTTGGTTCTCTGGTGGGTAGTTAATCAGTTACTCAGGTGACAGAAAGGCTGACTCAACTCCAGGCATGTGGCACACTGACCTGGTTCACATGGTGTTATGAAACTAAGACAGGGAGATAAATGGAGCACTTGGTATATAAAAAAGCATTATGGGAAGGATGGCTAAACTCCATGACAAAATGAATGTAATAAGATGAAGATTGTTTAATGAGCCAGGCATAATGTGAATGAAGCCGGGTTAATGGAAAAGTGGAGAAGTAAGATCTAGGTGTAGCTGTTCTTCATCACCACTAGGCAAAACACACAAAAATACTTTATACAATCAACATTCACAAAGGAAAAAGTGATTTTTGGCTCATACCAAAAAGTTTATAACCTGATTTTTATTATTTTTCTTGTACAGTCGGTGCTCAAAGAGCTTTTAGATGGTTATTATGACATTGTTGTGCCGTTCACATGGACTGATCTCATGAATGCTATTATTCTAACATGACTTTGAAGCATTATGGGATTGTGTGTTCATAGTGCATAGTAGGAGCCTGTTTGGTTGTATGGAACAAGTACAGCTTTTATATTTCCCTTAAGCTGATTGAATTGTCTTGGTCTTTAACTGCTGAGAACTTCAGTTCATTCATCAACTGTGTGACAGGATCTGAGCGCTCTGTTCTCTCCCTCATTGTCTGGTTCACGTAGGAGGGAAGCGGAGGAGGAGAGTGGGTGAAGAGTCATTCATCCTTAAACCTTTCCTGTTGGTCTTTAACTGCTGAGAACTTCAGTTCATTCATCAACTGTGTGACAGGATCTGAGCGCTCTGTTCTCTCCCTCATTCTGGTTCACGTAGGAGGGAAGCGGAGGAGGAGAGTGGGTGAAGAGTCATTCATCCTTAAACCTTTCCTCCCCCATCTGCTCGTGTGTCATCGCATGTCTGGCTGTGATACCCAGGTGACTTTATCGCAGCATGAGCTGGAGTCGCGGCACTGCTTCAAGCCATCTCATTTGGAGACTGAGATTTTATTCCAAGTGAATCATAGAGATAATAGACAAACATCCGATTAATTCTTCAGGCTTTGAATTGTTAATCTAATGGTTTCAGACCACAGTTGTACGGATCCACACTGTAATCTCTCCCGAACTTTACTGACAATATCAACCTTGGTAACTGTTGCCATCTGTCATAATGTCTGACAGATGGTCTTTTCTAATGATGGTCTACAGACACCTGCGTGTATCAAATAATATGGTAAAAACATTCATTGAGAGGATTTTTTTTACATAATTTTCTATTAAAAACCACATGCAGTGGAAGAATTTTTGTCAGCATCAATCTTAAAAGCATTTCAGTGTCTGAAAAAAAGCTGCATTTTGGATTGCAGTTGGAAAAATGTCTATGAGTATGGGATAACTGATTCCGATAATGGACCATATAGACATAAAATGACACTGTAAAATTCTTGCCAACAGAAGCTGAATAGTGTTGATGGTATTGGCCTGATTATAAAGGAGATTAAGCCAAGTACCAGTTAGCACCAGCTAGACCTCGTCTGGGACGACAGCAGCTTTCTGCTTCCTGGTTGTACTTAGTTTTTCTTGCTGTTTCCTGCAATAATGAGGAGATCAAAGCTGAGACAGCAGCACATTCAATCCTCTGCCTGTGTTCAAAGGCTGTCTTCTCTTTGAGGAGAATCACGTTTCTGCTCAAGTCCCCTGCTGATTTTAACAGCCCCATATAGCATAGTATCCACTCTTGATGTTAACTCTATTCTGATGGCGAGAAAGGAAGAGAGAGCCAAAGCGTTTACTGCAGCAATATTAGAACTCAAATAAGACTTTATTTGGGGAACTGGAAGAGTTAAACTGCTCTTGTGATACATGATTGCAGCAATATCCCGTAATCTTCAGAACATGTGTCTATGTACAGCTTCTTCATTACCAGCAAATACCGCAAGCGAAATCAAAGATGTCATTTTGAACAAAATCAGACCAAAACAAAGATATTTTCGGGAGTTTGAAACTGATTGCCAATTGCAGAGCTGGTGCAAGCATATCCACATTGCACCTATCAAATGCTTTCTTAACATCTGTTTTCTCACCAATGTTGTTTTTGTTTTTATTTTGTTATTCAGAGGAAAGCACACAACAGATTTTTATATATTCATCAGGATGAACAGCTGCTTAGGTATTTCTAAGCAAAGAA